AAAATATTTGAGCTTCAGCTTCTGTACCTGACCTCCTAAAGAGCAGTCAGGGCTGATTTCTTTAGGACTGACGGATCTGATCTCTCTGCATTCCAAGGGAAGAGCAGGATGCACCATGCCAAGGTGAAGCATGAGGCCAGGTGGGGCGAGCCCAGGCACCTCCATGCATATCGCCTGCAGAGCAACTGCCGAACCCTCTTGGCGGGTTGCAGCATCTGCCTTGGCCACAGCCCAAACCAAGGCCTGCATTGCACATTAGCGCTTTCATCGATGCTTCCACATCCAGAACTGGGGTGTCAGCCAGCAGCCAAAGCAGGAGGAAAAGGTATGAGAACAGCAGGAAGGGAAGAGGCACAGCTGCTGCAGGTTTCCTGTGTCCTCATCAGCTGCTGGTTGAGAAAGAGGGCCTCAGTGCCAAATTGAGCCGCCGCTGGTCAGGAGGATGTGCCACAGGAGCCTTCCTTTCCTTTCCTCTAACTGCAAAACTGGGCAGACACACTGCTGCAAATCCGTAGTCATTCAGGAGCTTGTGAAACCACGTGGAGCTTGTAATTGGGTTGATTAGCCTTTTATTAGGTTAAGACTGGCTGTTTACCCACAGCAAGGCCCCGTGTGGGTGTGCCTTACTTGCGGTGCAGTGTTAGAATTCCTTAATTGGTCATCAATCTTTGCAATTGCTCTGGAGAGTGAGGAACAGTTGCTTACTGAATTTGCTAGGATTTCAGCATGGGTGTCCTGGCTCCAAATATCTGTTGGGCACAGGACTGGCCAGCATCACAGTGGGTTGTGGATAGCTCTGAATTTCTTTGTTCCTTCTCTTATTGCCCACCCTTCCTTCCATTGTCACCTTTGGCTGGCCCACCTAAGCCGTGTCGCAACTGTGACATGGGCTGAATGCATTGCGATTGCTTTGAAATTATAGCTGAACTAAGCCAGTGCTTGTCTGTGCTGCCCTCTTTCAATGAGAAAAAAACAACTGACCTGGTGCAGGAAAGATACAACTGGAAGGAGCAGGCTTGGTAGAGAAAAGAGGCACGAGCGTGCCATTTCCTGCGTGGCCCATCAGTTGCCAGGGACAATGGTTCATGGTGGCAGCTGTGAGGGAGGCTTTGAAGCATGCTGTTGGACCAAGTGTTTCTGAGTAGCCAGGTGGGACCATGCTGGTGCAAGCATCTGTTTTACCTATAACTGAGCTATAAGGGCAAAATCTGTAACATAGAAACAGAGTGAGTCAGAAGGGGCCATCTAGTCTGACCCCCGGCTCCAGCTGGCTCCACTCATGACATGCCTACCATGTGCATGTCCAGCCTGTCCTTGAACACCAGCACCGATGGGGCTTCAACCACCTCCCATGGAAGCCCATTCCATGCCCTAGGGGGTCGTAACCACCAGGAAGTACTTCCTGGCATCCACCCTAAATCTTGGTTCCCCGAGCTTTGCTCCCGTGGAACGTGTCCTCATTTACAGTACGCAGGTGAGCTTACACAGAGAAGCAGGTATGGCTTGATCCGGGCTGAGGGACATCAGGGTCTTCCACTCAGGAAGGTGGCTGTGATTGGCAGCGTCTGTCCTCGTGCAAGAAGGAAGGCCTGTGCTTTAGGGCACTCACAACTTCCCTTCAGTGGCAACAGATTTAGCACACTGTGGCCAGTCTGCCTAATGGACTAATTCGGGCCAGTATTACTGGCAGTGGCTCTCTTCTGTTGACGGAGCTGCTCTTCGAGAATGCACGCCAACAAATCCCCTGTTTCCCGAGATCATTCTGTCCTCCTCCCTGTTTTCGAGATGTGATTGTGCCTGTTTGTTCGTAGGACCCTCTTGTTATGGGATAAAGGGAAGCGATGTGGGGCCTCCGTGTTCTGTCAGGGTTTCTGCTGCTCCTTCAACTCACAGCAAACTGATTTGCCCCTGGAAGTGTAAACAGGAGGAGGGCTGGCACGTGTGAATGGGTGAGATGATGACATAAACCTGCAGGGTGCGCACCGCAGCCCAGCCAAGATGGAGCTCACCTTTCCCACCCCAAACCCTCAGTCACTTGCAGCTGAATAGAGGCTCTGCAGTCTCAGGATGAGAGAGCGCCTTCAGCTTCCCACTGGGAGATGCTGCCTAGCTGTAGACCGTGTGTTGTAGCTTTCTGTCCCCTGTGCTGGTGGCCCTGTTTGTCCATAGCCCCTCCTTCTGCCCCCGTTCTGCAAAGATAATTCCTTCTGCATGCTCTATTTGTTGGTTTTTTTCCTTTTCTTTCCATTCTAATGTTCAACGGTTTTCTTCTTCCAGTATGACCGATTAAACCTGATCAAAGTAAGATCTCGACTCTCTCTTGTCTCTCGTGATCCCTTCCAGCTGGCTCTCCTCATCCTCTTCCTCTTCCCTGAGCCTGTCCACTTGTCACTCCATTTCTCATATAAGAGTAAGGGGTGGGAGCCTGGGGTGGAGAGAGGCATTCTCTGTGGCTCAAGGGAGTGTGTTAAAGAGTTCTCCCTGGAATTCAGGAATCCCCCTGCCCTTCCTTCCCTCTCCTTCAGTACTGTTTTGGTCCCTTTTAGGACTTCAGGTTGTCCACTGCCTTTCCTTCTTAGGGAGATACTCCAACCCCCTTCATCTGTTTTCCCTTCTTCTGCAATCTTCCTCTTGAGATAAGCCTTCCAGACCTTTATATGGGACTGGAAAGTGCTGGCACCATGTGGTTATATTTATTATTTTTAGTTAAGACTGTTGTGCATGATTATTCTTAAGAATGATACAGTATCCTACCTTTCCAGCAAAGTCATGCCTAAGGTGGCTAACAATGAACAGATAAGCAAATTCCAAAATAGCAGAAGTGGGACAGAAGGTTGGTTGGAATCTGCTGGAAAATACTGTTGGACAGCTTCCTCCAGCTGTCCCAACAACAAAATTACCAGATTGGCTTCTCAGCTCAAATTATGCTGCTAAAATGATGAAACCACCATTGGTAACCAGGAGTGGATTTTATGCAGAAGGACTGTGAGCTTTACTCAGTTTGGATACACAGAACAAGCATTTGAGGCTTGGAATTATTTAATTCCATGTGTAATGCCATTTGCATGTTACACTTCGAGGCTTCAGGCAGTGGAGCCTTGAATTCTAAAGTATAGATCTTGCAAATTTGAAGTCTGTCCACCCCTGAACAACACACACACACCAATTTCATGCCTAAGATACAAGCACTAATCATATCCACAAGCAACTGAAAATACTGAGTTTAAACCAGCCAACATATGTTGAAGCCACCGGAGAAAAGGCAGTATTTGTCTCCCCCACCCCATTTCAATGGAATGCCATCAAAGGAGAGGGTGAGGCAAAACTCCCCAGGGAGGAAACATAAAAGTCCAGGTGTAGCCTTGGAAAAGCTTCTCTTGCATTCCTACCAAATGCAGCTCTGACATCAGTGGGGCACGGGAAAGAGCCCCAGCTGCAAATCCCAGTGCTCACTCTGGCTTATTCTGGAGCCAGCCGACCTTTGCATGCCCTGGCCATAAGCCGCTTGGGGCTTTGATGGGCAAAGGCAGTGCATGGAAATGGAAGAAGAGCCATTGCAGGTGTTGCAGAGACGGAGTTACAAGATCAATGCAACCTGCTGCCATTAGCATTCTGCCCGCAGAGGTTTGAAACCGCTGCAACTTTTCAACGCTTCTCAAAGACAACTCCGTGTAGAGCACTTTCCACCATGGTTCACCTTGGCCAGTCTGATGTCCCAAGGAAAGGGCATGGTTGGTGCTCCAGCCAAAGGGGTGCAAATACTTTCCTGGAAGCACTTGTCCTCTTTGCATTCAGACCCAGAACCGAATTCAGGAGTGCTCTGTAATTGCAAGCTGGATCATTATGGCTATTTTATATGTTACGTATTTAATAATTTCCAGGATTAGGGAACCCTTTAATTGTCTTAAGGGTTCCTGAACAGTGCCCACGGAGTTAAGAATGCAAGTACGATGCAGTCATTTGTGTGCTCACCTAAACTGAAATGGATGTAGCCTTCACAATGAGGTTCATTACAAGAAGGTGCTTGAAAGATCATCCGGGCCATTTCGGGGCAGCTTCATGCAAGCAGGGAACCCTCCAAACTGTAGCCATGCAGTTTGTTTCTCGGTAACAACCGCCAAGTATCCTTCCAAGCAGGACAACTGCCTTTCTGTCTCAGAGCTGAACTGTTTAACGAAAGGATATTATCCAGAACTAACTAACTAAAGGAGGGGGGAATTTGGTGCTGGGAGTTTGCCAGAGAGGCAGGCGTAAGTGTGGCCTTTTTCTCTTTGCTGATGGTCAGGCCGCTCCCGTGGGCGGTCAGCAGCTGCATTTGGATGTGCTGTCCGTATTTGCAGTCATCCCAGCTTTCACAGGTCTAACCTACAAATGTAGGCAAGATCTCTGGAATGTATGGAGGGGGGAATTGCAGGCTGTGCCATAAGGGTCCTCTTAAGAAAGAACCCGCCATCGGTTTGTTCTGCCCATGGAGAAACAAAATGTAGCACACTGCCCAGGTTTGCACCACAGACCTGGATGAGCATCCAGATTGCAATGGAGGCCTGGCCTTCTTGCTTCGAAATGCCTTATTTAGGCCTCTTGGTCTCTCTCATGTCTCTGCCATGCCACAGCTGCGACTCTGGTGCAAAAGCCCAGCATGGCTCCTGCCTGCCCATCACGGCCTGGCATTTCTCCGTTGGAAGTGACACATGCATATGACTGACGATGCTCTTTTTGCTCCTGTGTGTGGAAGGCATATTCTTCAAGCAAAATGGCTGCTTGTGATCGCGGGTGGTTACATTTTGGCCATCTTGGGATAAACACATGAAGTGTGGAACCCTTCCAATTCCATGTTGTCTCTGACCTCCCCACTCTCCACCTCAAATGTCTGGTTTAAGTGATAATTTCCCACTTGTGCAATAACATTTAGAGAAATAAAGATGGCTGATTTTCATTCTTTGCTTAGCATCAAACCCCTCTACTAACCGATGCATTTTTTTTTGTTTTTGTCCTTACAGAAGAGCCAGAGTTGGTACAATGTAAGTATTTCAGTTTCCTTTATTCCTTGATGCATGGAAGGAGGGTGGGTGCTGCATGGAACAAGATCTTGCAGTTCCGTGGGGCAAGGGCGATGTGGGGCGAGGTGGGTCTCAGAGCCAGCAAGGTATCGACTCCTTAAAAGAAGCATTATTAAAGCAGGCTGCAAAGCTACCCATTCAGTCAAGGACCTCCCTGTTCCCTTCCTTTCTTATATTTTTGTCTGGCCTTTCACGGAGAACAAATGAACGGCTCATGATGGCCAACATAAGAAGATGCATATTGCAAAGAAAACTTAATTTGCAAACAAAAACATCCAGTACTCCAAAACACAGTGGAAAACCCAAACAGTATTGTCTTTCACTTTCTCCTGCATGAAAGACAGATTCCTCCAGATCCTCTAGAACTTGCCCTGGGACTATCATAGGACCTAGGAAAGGACGGATTTCATCTTGCCCGGGTCCATGGGGGTGGGGGGCAGAGTTAAAAGGGGTCTGCTTTGTTCAGGGTGCAAAAGAACTCTCCTTTCTGGGAAAATGGCATAGGCAACATTTGGCACTCTGGGTGTGTTTTGGCCTACAACTCCCATTAGCCCTAGCCAGCAAGACCAATAGTGGGGGATGATGGGAGCTGAAGCTGGTAACCACTGCTTCCAGTGCTGGCGAAATGGGATCAGAGGCTAACTGGTATGGTTCCTCGCACTGTGAAGGGACCAGCGAAGGGAAGGGACTGAGTGTATGGGCAAAAGTCTTCTACACACCCCTCAGGGTATGAAACTGAGATAAGAGAATCCAAATAGGATTGTTTGCTTTGTGTGTTTCCTCCTTCCCGGATTGTGGAGTAATCCATCTTCCCCAGTCTAGTGCCTGCACATGTTTTGAACTTCAGCTCCTATCAGCCCCAGCCAGCATGCCCAGTGGTCAGGAATGCTGGGGATTTTAGTCCAAAACATACAAAGAGCAACAGGCTGGGGAAGGCTGGAGCAACCCTATGCGAGGCAGAGTCTTCCTGCCTGCCACGAGGAGCTTGCAAGCCCTTCCTGTGCACACATGGCTGACTAATTATGTTGGCCGTACTCTTTTCCTTTCCTTTTGAGGTTCTAGGCCAGTGATGGCGAACCTTTTAGAGACCGAGCTCCCAAACTGCAACCCAAAACCCACTTCCTTATTGCGAAGTGCCAACACTACAATAAAACCTGAAAACTGAGGTATCAGTTGAGAAAAAACACCTCACAGCGGCAGTCCAAGCAAATATATATATAACCTTGGCAGCGCACTGACCGGCCATGCGAAGGCTCAGACGAGTTGCGGCCAAGGAGTCGTGGCTCCTGACATCATCGCCTGGCACCGCTGCTCCTTCCCGAGCATGCGCATGGCCCCTGTGTGCGCTGCTATCCGTTGCTCGGCTGGTGGGGCGATGCTGGGGCAGCTTGGTTCGCCTGCCGACCGAGAGGGCTCTGTGTGCCTGCTGCGGCAGGCCTGCCATGGGTTCGCCCCCACTGTTCTAGACCAGACATTTTTCTTTTTTCTTTTCTTCTACTGGGAAAGCCTTCTAGTTTCCCTCTACCTTTAATGTTCCCAGTTCTGTTTGCTTAGCTCTGTTCTGTACTTTCCTGGATGCCAAGAAAGATATCAGATCCACAGAATTCCTTGTTTCTGAACCGCCCCCTCGGCCACATCTGCCCACCAGCCAAGGTGGTAGGGGTTGTTTGAAAGTTAGGTGACCCATGAACCACTGTAAAGCAAGCCATGGGCTGCACGTCCTTCTGCCTCGGTTCACACAACAGCAAGCAAGGCATCTATGGGCACCCAGCACAACAGCTCCCATGGGTCAGTTAGCTTGCATGCTGCTCCGCCTGGCACCGTCGTTATTTGTTTTTTGGCGCCAGGCGAAGACCTTTTTATTCAAACGTTATTTTAATGGTTAATATTATTTATTTATTTATTTATTTATTTATTTATTTTTGGCCAGGTCAACTCAAATTATATTGTTTTTCTATTGTGCTTATTTATTTATTATTGCGAGCTGCTCCGAGGCTTTGCCGAATGGGGTGGCATAGAAGCCTCCTAAATAAATAAAATGAATAGAAACCGAGAGGGTCAGAAGGGGTCTCCCAGGTCATCTAGTCTGACCCCCAGCCTTGCTCTGCCTCCTCCTCTGACCCAATAGCAGGGAAGTACCTGCTGTATGTAGCCATGCCCCTCTCCTGCTCGAGTGTAGCCATGGGCTGGCTTTCTATGCAGTCTGCTCCGTGTGTGTATCGGCACCACCAGGTGCATTCTTAGACCTGTGTGGACAGGCATGCAGAAGGAGACCCTCTCTCTCAATGCTTCTGTATAGATTCCTCCTCCAATGGGCTGGCACTGTGTTCACAATATCCTCTACCTCCGTACTCACTGCTTTCTCCAGGAGAAAAGTAGCTCGTACACGGTCCAAGTGTGCAGAGCTTGTTCTCGTATAAGGACTGCAGCTCTCACTGTGATGTCAGCAGAATGTTTGAGCCTAAAGATCTAGACCCAGATTATGGATGGATGGGATGTGATGAAAATATTGCAATATTGCTTCTGCCTGAGATTATTCAGGAAGAAGCGTTTATCAAGATCCACGAGGAAGAATGCAAAATCTGTCTTGCCGTTCTTTCTTGAAGAAGGGCAGGCTGGTTAGGCGTTCGTGTTTCGCACATGTGTTTCTTCATGGACATTCCAAAAGCATTCCCTTGGGATGAAATGCAATGCTGGAACTGGCTATGTGAATAAATGTGGCCAGACAGCCCAAGGAAAGCCGGATGCTTGAGCATTCTGGACAAGTTTGCAGCCCTAAGAGCTGGATGGCCAAGGCAGAAATTGGCATTCCTTGCCCGTGACTCTCTTCAGCATGGCAATTTGTTTTTGTGGCTGGTGTGTCCTTGCATGTGCATTACTGTTGATGTGTCCTTGTTGTTTTATTTCTCCCTTTTTTGTTTCTTCTCCATGTATTTTCAGCATGAAAGACAACACATCCGGAGAGTAAGCACTGGCTGTGTACTTCTGAGTTATTTTGCCCTAGCTCTTCTAGACACTTTCACCAGGTGAAAACAGTGATGCAGAAACAGGGCTATGCCACCACTGAACTATGAGGTGTCTGTAAAATGATGCTTCTATAAAGCAGAAGTTTTGGCAATCTCCTGCTGTCTCAGCAGTAACCAGTCCGCCCTGTTCTACTTCTGGGGCCAAACATTGCAACATGTTTGAGAAAGAGCATAAATAGAGACGGACGGGCCTTTCTCTGCTGGAGACTGTGCGTCTCTTTTACTGCAAACCATTGTGCCCAGACTCCAATTGCACCTCAAAATGTGTGCGAGCAATTCCCAAGGCACCTCAGATTCCTCCTTGCTATGCAGCTGCCATCTATGTCAGGGATAGTCCGGCCCTATTTCTGCAGGTTTTACTGGGTTTTGTGTGTGTGCTTGTTTCTGCCCAGCATCCTGTGCTGACGTTACCCTACCCTGACCGGTTGCACTTGTCCTTCCTTACCCCGGGGCTTTCCAGTGTGCAGTGGTCATGCCTTTCCATGCTTCCCTTTGGTGGTGAGATCTGTGGTGAGATTAAGCCCTGCATGTGCCTCCAGCTGAGAGAGAGCAAGCGCAAGCATTGGCAGCTTCAGCTTTGCAAGTGTTTCTGAGCATGCGTTGATTTGCATGTGGACGGCATGCAACGGAGCAGCTTTTCCTCACTTGGGGAAGTGCCTTCCCAACTCTATAGACGCTCCTCCATGGAGTGCTGAGGTTCAGAATCTGTCCCACTGTTATTGGCTATTGATGAGGAGGGTGGGAGAATGAGCAAGCTGGCAGCCCTCAGATGGCGACATGGCACATTGAACAAAGCACAGGTTGGGAAAGCCATTGCTGATTCCCGCTGGGAATTGGGCTGCCGGCTGGGAAAAGTGGGCTGACCCACCGATCTGGGTCATGGAGAGTCATGCAGAACCTGCCTTGAAGCCTTCGCATTAGCTCCCCCCACATCCTCCCTGAATGGCCAGTTCAAGAGTGGCTGAAAGGAGTGATCATTGTGGCTTATAAGGATTTGGCGGTGATGAGTTGGCGGCATCCTTCTGCTTCTCCCCCTGCCCAGAGGTAGCCTAGCAGCTCTTATACTTCACAAAGCCCTTGCAGCAAGCATTGGATAACGGATTTCAGCCTCTCCCCGCAACCTCCCCCCACCTTCTATATAACACCAGGCACCTGCCTTTGGCAATAGAAATACCTTTATGGGGACCGAATGCAGGGAAGGGGCTTTGTGAAGGATAACAAACACGGGAATGTTCCCTGTTGTAGCACAAAAGTGCTCACGAGGCCGCGTCGCTCTGCTGAGCACGACAGGGATTTCAGCCTGCAGCTTCTGGTACCATCTCTTTCAGAAGAGGCGGCCCCGGCTTTGCTGTCGTAATGCCTTTTAAAGGGTCGCAGTAAATGCTTGCTCCAGTGCAATACGTACCCACTCCGTAATCGTTGGCCATTGTTGGGGACACACATCTGCAAGGCACTGCCTGCGTGTGACTCCATATACTCTGTCAGGTATTTGCTGCTCTGCACTACTGCCTCCGCATGGGAGGAGGCTGGCTAGTCTACAGGCTACCTAGCAAACATTGCACAGGCAGTGAGATCTGAGCCAGAGATTCCGAGCTCACATACAAGCTGCCTGGTACTGGCCAAGGTTTCAGAAGGGGGTCCGTTTCATCACTCCTTGGAGATGCCCGGGACCCCTGAGATGGCAAAGTGCATGTTCTGACATGCTCGGAGCCGCCATCCTGTGGAACCTCAGCCCACATTCATGTTGCAAAGGGTCCTCATTTAGGAGAGCGTGCAAAGCACTGGTCTAAAGTAGGCCGTAACAAAAGGGTTGCTTAAGCCGCCCATGAGCACCTTTGCAGGAGATCTAGCGACCTCTGAGTTTAGGCCAATGGTAAAACGGTTTATAATTGGACTGTTTGAAATGCGCTTGTGAAAAGCACCTGGCTTCTCCACTCCTGTTTGTTGTTATCAACTCAGAAAACTGGTTTGTCAGCATGTGGCCAGAGGAGAGGAGATCACTCGGTCACATCTTCCTGTGGTCACAGATGCTGAACTAAGTGTAGGGGGGACCGAAAGGATCTGGGGCTCAGGCCCACAGGTGGCATGAGCACGCACATGCGTACACCTGCATGTGCTGGCTTGCATGCTCCAAAGTCTGCAAAGGGCGCTTCTTCCAAGGGCGCCCCTGTTTATAAAAGGGGAAGTATGGACTGGGGAAAGGAGGGCACCAGATTGAAAGGAAAACGGAACAGAACCAGGCAGAAAGATTGATTGAAGAGGCAGTAGGAAGTCAAGCACCCGCGAGCCAAAGGCCAGCTTGTCCAGGGGGATCAGGTGCAGCAGAGACCCTTGGGGCCCTTGTTCCGGGGGGTGGAGGGCCCCCCAGGCCGAGCAACCCCAGATGGGCCACCTCTGGAGCCTGCCTCTGAGTAGGCAGCTCCGGGCAAGCCAATCTTGCTCAGAGTGCCTCTTCTTCCTCCTGCTGCTGGCACGATATTGGCTCGGTTCTACAGCCTCTCTGCCAAACACCCCGGAAAGACTATTTGCGTAGGGCCGAGGGACGCCTCACCTCTGGCTTTCCTCCTTGCCCCGCAAGGACCATGGATGTGCATGCGCCTGTCTGGCCTCCTCTTGCCAAATTCCAAGTGCCCCTCTGCTGTGGCCGAGCCCCCTCCCAGGAAGGGTGCACTGCCGCTGGCCAGGCACCTCGCTTTGGGGGATGCTCATTGGGAGGAGTGCCTGCACCTCTTGTCGTCGTGCTTCTGCCCAGTCTCCAAGGAATAAGTCCTGGGAGACGAGTGGCATTGCTCCCGAGTGGTGCGAACGGAGCCACTCTTGAATGGCCGTGTGTTGTGGCAAGCCCTCCAGACAGCAAGCTCTGCTGGGCGGCTGTAGCTGAGTGTTAAGGCACATCTTTTGCCCACAGAAAGCTACACATCCAAGCGGGAAAAGCCTCTGCCGGCATCCTTGCAGAGCGGCTGCTGGACGGTACTGGCCATGCTAGGCTAGATAGGCCCGTGGTCTGATTCAGAGGAAGCAGAGCCCCGTGTTCTGAAATGTTCTAGGCAGCTTTGTATCAGTACGGTAAGTAGGTACATATCTCCGGGTATGTATCTGCGCAGTCGATCTCGGCACTTTCTTCCTGCTTTGTGGTTGGCACGGCCACCCTGTCCATGTGTCTCGTGTCACAAACTGCATCTGAACACGTGTGTCTCCTTCCTCGGCTCACCTTGTGTGGCTAGGACCTTGCGAGAACCCGCCGGTGCCCTGCTGCAGGTTCAGAGCCCCCCATTTCCCCTGCTCTGCCTTTAGCCAGCCATCTTCACAAGCCATCAGAAAGCCTGACTCAATGAGATCCACCCCTGCTCCTCGCTCCCCACTCACCCTCTTCTGGTGGCACCCTGTCCCAGCTCCTGATGTTTGCCCTAGAGTTAATGTTTACCATTCTGCCGCCACTTGTCTGCAGACTGCCCTGTTTTCACTTCCTTCAGAGACTGCAGGTGGCTGTGCAGGGAGATAGGAAAGGTCTTCCTGATCCGTATCTGAAAGGCGTTCTCATCATCCGCTGCCAGAAAGGAGAGGGACTCCTAAACGTTAGTGCAGAAAGCTCAGTCCTTTGCCAGAGGTGTCGACCTGGAGCTTAAGGTCAATGTAAACCTGATGCTGCCCGCAGAAGCTCTCTGTTCCATCCAGGCACTTCACATGGCTGCTGCCGCATCTCAAAAGGGACTTGCCCTCCCTGGGATCACAGGCATGCTGCATTTTGCTCACCGGTGCTCTGCATCCCCAGAGGGCATAATTGCCACATGTCTGCAGCCACATGTGGGGTTAGGCACTGGCTTAAGGTGCTGTTTGGAGCAATTTGTATCATGAGTTTCCACAGAGAGAAAAGGGGCTGTTTGATTCTGACACAGGGAAAGGAAGGATTGGGAATTTGATCTGCATTTCCCTTTCCTGGAGCTGCTGTTCTATTTAGAAAAAAGGGGAGTGAGGTTATTGCATCCCAAAATGTTTGCGATATTGAGTAGACATGCTGGACCTGGGAATCTGCAAGCGCATCCCACATGCTCCAGCCCAGGTGTGTGTCCCCCACCCCACCCATACTTTCAGAGGGATCAGATGGCCATCTAAGCGCCCTTGCACTGGGTGGTGGTGGCTTTCCCCTTCTTATGTCACATATATTCGAACTCACGCAAGACACTCCTCTTTTTCTGACTTCAAAGGATGTCAGCCTTGCTTAATACAGCGGACTTTTGCAAATCAAATTAGAAAGAAATGTCGCACTGTTATTAATATTAGTTGGTACAAAACTTGGTTTCAGTTAAGTGTAGCCTGGTGAACAAGGATGAAGTGAACTTGTCACGTTCAGCAGAATATATGTTGGCTCAGCTAAGCAAGCAGGAAGAGTGGAATCTCAGTCTGTGTGTGTGTGTGTGTTTGCGTGCTAAGTGTACTTTTATAAACTGGTGCATGATAATCCTGCTATTTGAAGGAGACTGTACAGAGCTAATATTGAGTTAACTCATCTAAGAATATTAATCCAAATCAATGAATTTCAACTTTGCATCTGTTAACTTTTAATGTTAAAGAGATCCCCTTTGCTTCCATTTCACTTCCTCATTGGCAACTGAAGGCAAGGAATGTATTTGTCTTGTCTGCCTTTGGCAGTTTAGTTTTGTGAACTTCCTTACAAGATTCCTTTAAATCAGGTATTTAGTGTATAGGACCCATTACCGAAGCTTTCAAGGTAGTTTAGTCCCCTCCCCCAAAAAAGTTTGTGAACAGACGTAAATAAAATAAGATAAAACAGGGGATGTAAATATCATAGCCTGGTACCAAAGGTCTAATGTTGGCAACAGGCAGCCTTTATTTAGGAGGGAATTCCAGGAACAGGAAGCCCTCGTTGAGATGACTGCATCTGTGGTTCCATCCACCTGACCTCAGCAGACAGCCTGGAAGAGACCTCTTAAAGATGACCTTAATGCATGACCAGGTTGATCTAGGAGCAGCTATCTCTGCAGGTATCTGGAAAGTCAGCCTTAAAAGTGACCAGCAGCCCCTTAAATTATCCTCAGGAATGGAACCAAAGCCAGTCACATTCTTTCAGGGTTGGGAAGAGATGGTCATGCCATCTGGTTCCTGTGATCAGCCTCACTGCTATATTTTAAGCTAACCACAGTTTGAGAAAGTCTTCAAAGATGACCCCACATTATAGCGACCATTCCTAGATAGCGGTTGAACAATGAAAGCTGGAATATCTCCATTCTTCTTTAGTCTGGCCATTATCTCAGAACTGGGATAAGGGAGAATTGACCGAGACTAGTGTTTCAGCCTCATATTAAAGCCTTCAGTCTTCTGTAGCCCCCGATCAGTTCTTGTCCATCACTTGCCTTTATATGGCTCTCCATACTGGTGTCCATTTCCCACTGGGCACCCACTGGGCACCTGTCTGTACCCACCAATTCCCTTTCAGGTGTGCACCTTGCTCGCTGCAGGTTTTGCAAGCTAGCTCAGGCTATTCTGAGAGACCTTTCCACCCATGTTGAAAACTCTTGCTGGTAGGTACCTTTCCAAATCAATTAGTTTCTCCTTTTGAGTGTTAATAGAGCTAGTAGTTTCGTACAGTCCTCCAAACGGGTATTTTCTGGGCTTGCACAAGTTCAGTTGTATACCTGAACATTATCCACAAACCTGGCATCTTTTCTGCTTTGCTCTTGAGCACACATCATGCAAGTTTGTGGCTCACACTGTTATGCTCCTGATCCAAATTATAAGCCCCATCCTATTGTGGAGCCTTCAGTTACGCTTGCTCATATTTACTAACTGCTTCTGCAAATTATGATAATATGATGTTGGAATAGAGGAGGATTGGGAGCTATGCACAAAAATTGTGCACGCCCCCTGAAGTTCTTTTCCAACAGTGGAAATTGGGGAAGAAAAGCAAAGAACTCTGGTTTTGAATATTCCCCCTAAGAAAGCTCGTTGCTGCAAGATGGTCACTGACAAACCGCGGTTTGGGGTTTCATCATCTCCGTGCTTGCACAGATTGGCCTCTCGCTTCTCTTTCTTCCCCCCCCCACCCCCAAGACAAAGTTTGCATTACAAGAAATATTTGCTAGAAGGGAGGGGTGAGGCTGGGTTACTGCAGGGCATTGGCCAACAGAGTCACCCAGAGAGTGAAACTTGAAGCATGTGCAAGTCATTTGGGTCTTTTCCCCACCCACTCCTTCCACAAGGAAAACTAAACAGAGCTGCTGCTGAAAGGAGAGGCAGAGTGAGGGAAGCCCAGGGCAGCCGCTGGACCGAGCTCAGCATTGTAGAGCCGTGTTCGCCCTGGAGGGAGGCTGGCAACAGTTGGAGGTGGACCGAATTCTTCTGCTCCAGAGATGTCAACAGGGTGTGAGAAGCAGCAGAGGACTGGCCATTGAAACCTGGCATCTGTGAGACTGCTAGCCTGCTGCCCCGTGGGAGCCTCGCTTGTTGCTGCCTGTTACGATCTGGGCATCTAGAAGTTGCAGTGCAATTGCATTACGGGTTGTGAAGGTTCTGTCTGTGCCTGACTGTGCTGTGAGCATCATTGCTGGGATTCTTGCAGCGGACGGGCCTTCTGCAAAGCTACGGTACCTCGGTCACAAACTCCCTGGAATGGAAGAGTTTCTCCAAGACTGTCTCTGGGGGCAGATCATTCTGTGTCCCCTTGCTGCCTCTTTGGATCTCCAGAGCTATATGTGAGCGGGGAGCTTTCTGCCTTTTTAAGCTGGTATCCACTTCGGTTGGTAATTCTGGTGACTGTCCCAAACGGAAAGCGTATTTGCTTCCGAAGCCCATGTACCACCAGCAACAGAGGAAGGACGGTGGCAAGTGGGTGACGTTGATATCATAGCATGGATGTGCTATCGGAATGTGCAGCAGTTCTGAATCTTCTCCTGGATCTGGAAGACAAAGTGTTATTGGGATACCTGGAAGTGTTGCATGATTTATCTGACGGTTATGGGAGCCCAGGAGGGGAAGATATTCCAGCTGTGAGTGTCTGCCAAGGCAGTGCGTCCTAGAAATGTTCTTGTGCTACTTTTCCTCCACCTCTTGCTTAGGTTTTAGTGACATGCAGAAGCCCTGGCTCAACATAGTTTTCTCTCTTCATTCATGCCATCTTGTCCAAAGGAAATGCTGGCACAGAGAAAGGTTCAGGATTCCGTACGACCACCCCTTTCTCTCCTACATCTGCTCTGTCTCTGTCCAGTCAAACTGAACACAAAAAGGTCCTGTTGCTTCAGCCCTCTTGATTATTTTTTGTGAGGGAGGGAAAAAATGAGTCCAGAGTTCTCCATCTAATTTGCTTTCCCTTCACTAAGTTTCTCAGCATCTAAATTTCTTTCGAGGTTAGCAGGAGGAATTGAAAGCACATTATTGGTCTTTTGACATCTTTCATCAAGTGATGGTCTGTTTTTGGCCTTTTATACCTGGCTAGGTTGTATTGCCACCTAAACTCTGTGTGTGTGTGTGTGTGTGTGTGTGTGCGCGCGCGCGTGCGCACACAGGTTGGGGGCTGGTTATGAGGAACAGAGCTGTCCTTAATGGGATCTTAAAAGAAGAAATTCTTGTGGTTGGATGCTTGCAAGAACAGTGCTTTGAGGAGTGGACGTTGCTGGCATGTGTTCATGTGACTGACTTTATTTGGGCTGAGATTTTTTTTTTAAAAATTGTTTTTGTTTTTGCAAAGCATGGTATGTTCTGTCTGGCTGAAATGTGTACTTCTGAGGGATTCTTACCCAGCTTTATCAAAACAAAGAGATGCACCAATAATTGCTCCTATTCCAGCCACAAGTGACGCTCCTCACTTCTCAGCACCACAAGCAGCCTGCCGCAACCTGGGCACCAGGTGGGGAAGGCAGGTTTATAGTGTCATGGCAGAGTCATGCTGTATACGAATCCTTAACTGTTTCCCTGTTGCTTGCAAATCTGTTATGCTCAGCAATGATGCTCAGGACCAGAGTCTTCTGTACATCATTCCCAACAATAAAGCCTGCGAGAGGCAGTTAGAACAGCACGGCCAAGCACTGGCTGCTTTGAGATGCATGGCAGACATTTGTGTCTGAAGACACCTGAGCTACTGCTGGAAAAATGGTCCGAGGACATATCATACCATCCTGCAAGTTTTTAATGGTGTAGCCTGCACCAGTCAATCTGTTCACCATCTTTCTGGATGGACCTGACCTGGCTTGTGTTACCAATTCCCGCAAAAATGGTTTGAATGGATGGATATTTGTTAGCGGAGAACATCATGTTGGAAGACTTCAGCTTCAGTTGTGCCCCCTTGAGTTGCCCCTAAGGTTGTGAGAGCCCCTTTAGCTTACCAGTGCAGAGGTGTGTGCTCACCCTGCTATATTTGGGTTGCTAAATAGCTTGCATGTTGGTGGAGAATCCTCAGAATAAGAGAATGGTTCGCCTCTAGTAGGTACTAGAGGTCTAGTGGGACTGCTTTGAGGTATGGATCTTTTTCCACCTACCACCACTTCGTTCTACTACTTGAGAATCCATCACAACCAACATTGCTCCCAGGGTTGATATAAATCAACAAGAGACCAAAGAGTTGGATAATGCAAAATAAAGTGTGGGGAGTTTCCAACGTCCATTTGCCCATCTCTTCTCTTTCCTTGTCCTATACCCTCGTCTTAGCCCTTGCCCAAAATTAACCCCCCACACTCCAAAACACTGTGGTCCATATACGTGCCATGAAACTAGACCTTTGTTTTCGTTGAATGTTTGCAAAAGGTAGGTTTGTTTGGTAAAATGTATGGGAGACTTCAGCAGATTCTACAGCTGGGTCTTGCTGAGGTCACGATGGAATGGAGTAACCCTTCTGTTTTCGCAGTAGACTTGCTCCTGTTTTTCCTGCCTGTCTTCACCCAGCCACCAGTGCTTACTGAGTCCATTCCCCTCATCTGCTTCTGCTTTTGCAGCATTTGTAGTGAGATTATGTGGACTGCTTCCCCATGCCTTGTTAGATTAAGAACATATTCCCCCTGTAGCTTAGATTTCTGGCTGCTTCTCTGACCTTCGTCATCATCCCCCCATCTTTCTAAGGAACCTTCCTCTGTTTTCAGGTGCTGAGTCCAACCTACAAGCAGCGGAATGAAGACTTTAGGAAACTCTTTAAGCAACTTCCTGACACGGAACGCCTCATAGTTGGTAAGACCTCCTTCAGTATTAGCTCCTGCCCAGCCCGTGTGAGTCAAGTGTCATAAAAATCAGCCTTCCCAGGTCAGGATGGAGAAAATCTCATTCTTGGCAGGGGCAAGAAACCTGCTTCCTGTTTCCCTTAGAAAGGTACGCACAACACCTTCTTGGGAAAGGATTGCACTTTGTGCTAACCACGTCATTCTTTCATTCAGTCATATTGCGATTTATATCTTGCCCTTTTCCTACAAAGGGCTCAAGGCAGCTTACATCTCCTCCTCCATCTTATCCCCACAACAACCCTGTGAGGTAGGTTGGGCTGAGAGTTTGTGACTGGCCCAAAGTCACCCAGTGGGCTCCATGGCTGAGCGGGGACTCGAACCCAGATCGCCTGAGTCCCAGGCCCATGCTCCTAACCACCACACCGGCTCTCATTTGCCTGGATTTCTTTCTTTCATTGGCATATATTGGGCAACAGTTCTGCATTGGGTCTGGTTTGACTTCATGACAAAGTTTATCCTAATTCGTTAGCTTTTAAGTTGGTGTCAGTATTATTATTCTATTGCCCACAAATTTAGTTGTACAAATCTGTGGAAAAATGAATGTATTTGATCATTTCTTGCAACACCAGCCATCAGGATTGCGTCCCTTTTCTTGTTTAATTTTTCTAAATTAGACTCTTATCCAACAAACTAGAATGGATTTCAGAGGCAGCGGTCACAATAGCTTTGTCATCATGAGCTACCTAGAAAGTCTAATAAGGAGAGAACACCACAAGCTTTGCTTTCTGTTTTGTTTTGGCAAAAGCTGAACCCGGCTGTGCGTCTTTTGTTTGTGCTGAGCCCTTTTTTGGGAGTCTGTTCCTGGCAGGGTTCCTGAGGCTCTCCTTTGTCCTGGTTGTCTTCGGGATCACCCCGTAAATTCTATCCTGCATCAAAAATAGTAATAAAACAGAACAGAATACTGCCAAGGACCTTTTGGTGGTTTTAAGAAGTCCCTCAAAACTTAATTTCAGCTTCTGCCACCAAATTTTGTCCAGGTGCTTTCACTGCTTAGACTGGGAGGCGGTTGGCATGGCTGTCTGTATTCCATACCGTGTGCCTCACCCAGCTGTTTTTAGGCTGATAATAAATGTTTATTGTCAATGGTGATTTTCTTTCCACAGATTACTCCTGTGCACTTCAAAGAGACATTCTTCTGCAGGGCCGACTCTACCTCTCTGAAAACTGGATATGTTTCTACAGCAACATTTTCCGCTGGGAAACGCTTGTGAGTGACTTCTCTGTGTTTTGTCTTAACATTTCTGTGCCACCCAATAGCTGAGGCTCTCTGGGTGGCTCTCAGTACATAAAATACAATAAGATAAAATGCAGTGAGAATATGTAAAAATTAAAAGAACAGCATGAAAGATAAAAGTAATAAACTAATAGAACCTTGGAACAGTGCAATGATTTGAAACAAAGTACCAGGTGTAAAACACGAGCTGAAGAAATAAAATACCCAGGAAAGTAAAAATGTCTTTACCTGGGACCAAAGAGAGAAAATGGGCCAGGGCCAGGTGAGCTTCTCTGACAGGCTTGTTCCATCCCTGTTAACAGTCTCAGTTCTATTTTGCACTGGCTGAAGTTCCTGGATCATTTTGCAAAGGTGTATCACCTTGCAATAATGCAGGTGAGAGGTTATCAGAGCATGGATGATTGGAGCTGGACTCTCTGTCCAGATAATGACACAATTCTATCAGCCTCAGCTCTTGCAAAGTTCTCTGTGCCACCGAGTCCCCCTGTGCCACTAGTGACCACACTGATCCAAGGGAACCTCCAAAGTACAAATCTGATTCTTTTGCAAGTGCGCCACCTCCTCCAGGGCAGAATGAAGATCGCTTAACCGGGCAGGAAAATGCTCTGCGCTTTTGGGATGGTTTTGGGACCATCCTGGAAGCGCTGCACTTTGTTCATTAATATGGCCTTTTATCCCCTTTGCTGTTTTTGTTTTGTTTAATTGTTGGGATAGTTGACAGTCCGTTTGAAGGACATCTGCTCCATGACCAAGGAAAAAACTGCAAGGCTCATTCCTAATGCTATCCAAGTTTGCACTGACACTGAAAAGGTAGGTGCCAGAGTTCTTGACCCGTTTGCTAAGAGCAGAACAGGAACCTGTTGCTGGGATGGGTAGAACTGGAACCAAGCATCATCCAACACTGCTTGCGATTCCTCTGAGCCCATGCAATGGCTACAGAAAGGAAGCCAGTGAGGCTGGTCAAGGACGTCAGCCAGGCCAGGGAATGGCAGCAGTGTCTTTTAAGAGAGCCCGAAGTGGCTTGAACTCCCCATGGTGTGCTGCTTATATGTGTATTTCTTGTCCCGTTGTTGCCACTGGTTTGCAGACTTTTGTAGATAACAATATTATCTTCATCACAGTACATTTATGTCCCACTCTTTTCTTCTCATGAGGCATTCAGTGCCTCACAAGCGACTCTCCTCTCCTCTATTGTATTCTCTCCACAACCCTGTGAGGTAGGTTAGGTTGAGAGCCAGTAGCTGACCCTAAGTCACCCAGTGTGCTTGCTGGCCAAGTGGCAGGCAGAAGCTGGATCTCTGGAGTCCCAAGACTGTGATCGCCGTGTTGCCCTGTCCTACTGCCAAACCATCCTGAGACAGTATTAAAACGTCTGAAATAAACAAGGCTGCATCGGTTGCCCGAGAGTGCCTGCTGGATAGATCTACCCTGCCTTAACTACTCATGCAGCTGAATACATGAATGAGAATTATTGCAAACAGATGGTCTGTGGAACAGGGAGTCTCTCTGGGTGGCTTCCAGCATATTAATAGGGTGACCACTTGGTGCAAATAGTTTACCGTTACCATACAGCTCACCTAGCGGCAGCCCTCGCTGTGGAAAAATAAATTCAAGAGTGCAGACCAGACAAGGTGGTAAAGAGAAGCTATAGAAGTAGCTTACTTAGTTGAAGATGCACAGGCAATGCATCGCTCCCCCTTGCCTTGCCTATGAGCAAGCTTCTCCATTCCCATGTAATTGTCTCATAAAAGCACAACCTCTGTTTCTTGGCTCTTACGCAGCCTCCCTAACTCTCTCCTTTCCACAGCACTTTTTCACTTCCTTTGGCGCCCGTGACAGGACATACATGATGATGTTCAGGCTGTGGCAGAACGCACTCCTTGAAAAGGTATGGGGATATGAGGCCTTCCTTACGTGGGTATACAGTTGCCTGCTTCTGATATGGGTGTGGATCCTTCAGCAGCAAGTGGACAAGGCAGCAAGCAGTCAGTGAAACAAAACACTGTCTTCATCCTTTAAGGCTAGCAACATAGTTGACCTTCTCATAGGCCGATTTTTGAGAGGCCTACCCTCTGCAGTAAAGCTTGTACTCAGTCTAAGGCCTCTTGGAAATACCTCTCTGCATAGGTGTAGCTACTGATGGTGGTACTTTACAGTTTACTTTTTTCTGAGGCATTACTGGTGACCTACAGGTTTTAACAAAACAACAACTCCAGTCACAGGGATGCTTGGAATGCTTTCCCAGTTTGCATTGATTGACATGGGAATTCTGCAAGATTCTGCCTGTGGCTTCCGAACCCAAGGGACTGTGGCAAAATCAGAGGCTTGCATGGTTTTCCCAAATACCAGTGTATGCATGAGATTTTAGGACTAATCTCATGGCTAACATGGCAGGCTTTTCCCTGGTTGTTGAATTGTGAGGAATAAAGCAGGACAGAAGTTTGGAATCTTAATCCAGGCTCATCTGCGTGCTTAATTTTCACCATGTCACCCCTACCGGAAGCACTGATTCACTCTCCTCCTCCCTCCAGCCTCTTTGTCCAAAGGAGCTGTGGCACTTCGTACATCAGTGTTACGGTAATGAGCTAGGGCTGACGAGCGACGACGAGGACTACGTGCCCCCTGACGAGGATTTTAACACCATGGGGTAAGCTGCGTTGCTCCCAGCCCAGTGTGAAGATTTCATGCATTGGCTTCAGTGAACAAGAGTCAAATGCCAGGTCTGTCTTAGGCACTCCAGTGGGCCGGGGTTAGGGATCTGGCAAGGGAGATGGCCCAAACCAGTAGTTCTGGCTTGCACAGCACAGCACAGCACAGGGTAATCCTTTGGGGCATGTGATGATGTACACCAGCCTTCCCCAACCTGGTGGCCTTCAGAGGCTTTTGGACCACAACTCCCAGAATTCCCACCCAGCAGGGACTTTGACTGGGAATTCTGGGTGTTGCAGTCCAAGCATGTCCAGAAGGCACGAGGGTGGGGAAGGCTGCTGTACATAGTTTCCATGTAACGTGCTGTGTAGTGGCAGTCCGTAGAGTTGGTTTGGTCCAGGAACAACCAGTGTTTGGTCCACTGCTTCCTTCTAGCGCAGGAGCACGCAACTTCAGAAGGTCCAGGGCCATTTCCTGACCTTCCCCTTGTCCTCCCACATGCCACCGAAATCCTCACAGACGAATGTGGTTGGCAATTCAGCACCGCCCCCAAAACACTTGTGGGTCGCCTGTACATTCTGAAAATGCAGGGCAGGTGGTTATCACCTCCACAATTTGGCAGCAGTGGTGGTAACTTAGCAGAAGGACAGGCTGCACTGGTTGCCCCTTTCTAGTGTTTCGGAAAGGCTTCTGCACCATCATCAGCTCCTTTTCAGAAGACTTTATGATGTATGTGTGTGTGGATTCTGCCAGAAATAAATAGGTTGCACCACACATCCTAGCAATGGGAAAATAAGAAAAAGGAATGGTGAGCATCATCGTGGATGATCTAGCCAGTGGCATCTTTGTGCATCGTGTGGTTGACCTTTTGGGGAGTATCCGTGCAGTATTTCAGCAAGTCCTCATCCCAGCACTTATAGATAAGATGTGATCTCCATTTTGTGCTCCAATCCTTCAACAAAAATGTCTCCCAGTGATAGAAAAGAAAAAGATTCTGCTAGATGAACATCCTGCACCTTTCATATCTCAGCCCTTGATGGCCTCCATGCTTTGGTCCTCAGTCAAAATCATCCACTATTGGACAAACATTCCAGTTATCTGGGACCAATCTCGCTGCATGTGCATGTATGATAACCAGTTTGTAAATCTTCCAAAATGGCAGTTTAGGATAGCAGATGGGTATGGTCAGAGAGTGAGAGAGAGAGATTTCCCAACACAGAAGCTATCCTACAAACCATTCATTTGTTCAAGTGGTTTCATTTTCCTGTGTTTGATTTGTGGGTGGATGGGGAGACCTGACCAGATGCATCTGGACTCTCTTTGATCTTTCAGCTACTGCGAAGAGATCCCAGTGGAAGAAAACGAAGTGAACGACAGCTCCTCAAAAAGCAGCATGGAGGTCAAACCTGAACCAAGCCCTCAGCTCCCCAAGAAAAATGTCACCAACAGCAGCACGTTGACCCCGACAGGAAGTAACGAAGCTCCAGTCCCGGTAGGAATTTCTCTCCCACCTCCTTCACATATCTAATCTGATTCACTCATAAGTGATAAGGGGGTGACAGTTACTTAACCATATTCATTTATTTTATTTCTATACCACCCCTCAGCCAAAGATTTCTCAGCGGTTTGCACAGTCCATAAAAACAGATGATAAAAATGCAATAAAAATATCAGGAACTCAGGAAAAAAGTCTATAACAGCTGAAAACAGATCATAAAAACAGGCAATAACAAGTAATAAGAACAACAACAAAGACTGGCTCTGCAAATCAAAGTGCAACAATATTTATGGATTGTGGAAATCTGACCTTTTAGCTCCAAATATTACAAACTGAGTGCAAAATTTAATTTCCTTGCCCTGAAGGAAGCAGGGTTACAATTTTAAGTATTTGAAGTGGTGGAAATCCGCAGCTGTCTTCTAAATAGCAACCATGAATGGTGTTTTTCTTTTTGAAAACTGTGGCTGGTTTTCTTTGTGGATAGAAATTGGTTTATAGTGGTGTGGGGGGTTCTTTGCTTTGTTTTTGATATATGCATATCATTTTGTTTAAACAACTGTACATTCTTTGCTGGGTGTCTCTGTGTGGTCACCCTCTAAAATGTAAGTCAACATCAGCAAGAGTTGCATTTGCTTCCGGGCTTTTAGAGGTCACACCTTAGCCCAGAACCTTGCAGATTGCAGATGACTCCTGGAGAGTGATCCTATGGCTGTTCGACTTTGCCTACCTGGACGTAGGAGGGGTTGGTGTCCAGGCTGCAACCTTGGAGCACACTCCGAGGTTGCAGCTAGGACTCTGATCTGGGAGTGCCTTCCTTCCACCCTTGGAGTGCCCCTTCTCAGCCCAGTTTGCAGCTGTAAGGTTAGAAGACCACCCTCAGAGCTGGTGGATCGTGGGTGTTCCCAGAGATGGGGAGGGGGAGTGAGGTTTCCCCACAGTGCTGTGTATCCTGGTGGGGCCTCAGCCCCTCCTTGTGCATCTGGACCAAGACTGAGGCAGACAAAATCAACTGCTAAGACCTGCAAGGTGTACAAGGGGCCTTCACCTCTGTGTCCTTGATGCTCTGTGGTCTCCTGAGTACAGAGGGCTACAGGTAGCCAGAATAGATGGTACTGCCCATCACACATAAAATATGCACAGCTCTTTCCTTTACACTGACCAAAAAATGGGAAATGCATTCACTCAAGCTCCTCAGAACTTCAAAAAAGGTTAACTATCAGTGGCATCCACCTTGTAGTAATGGTGATGTGAGTGTGTTTCTTACACTTTTCCAGTATGAAGGGATCGTTCCTGAGGAAGAGGAAGTTGTGGACACCCTCACAGAGAAGGAACTGGCAATTGCAAAGCTCATTGGAGACAAGATAGAGATAATTGCGCCCGTGACTTCCCCTTCCCTGGACTTCAATGACAATGAGGACATTCCGACTGAACTCAGCGACTCCTCGGAAACTCACGACGAAGGTGCATGGCTGGTATCCCCAGGTGTTGTGGTGGGGTTGATTGTCCCTTTTGGGCTCCTCCTATGTACAGTACCATGCATGTGGTTTCAGAAGGACCGGGACTTCCAAGCTCAAAGTTCATGGTTTTTCTACCATTTGATACTCCATGGCATATCGAGCATTTGAAGCTTCTTTATTTTTAATTTTTCTCCAGCTGAGACACATTAAAACTTATGGATGGCTAGTTTCTGGCTGGATTACACTGGCCCTATAGCATAATTAGGGGTGTGATTACAGACACTGAGCAACACGCATCAGGACCCTTTCTTGGGCAAGCCCCATTGATTTCGAAAAGAGTCATGCAAGGCATAATTCCTACTGCTGTATGACTGATGCCAGTGTAAGGATGCACACAAGTCTTTTGGTTATTCAGGAAGCACTCTCATTTTAAAGCCAGCAGTTCAAATGCATCGCGTCATCCTGAATTGCTGACATTCTGATACTTAGTATTTTAACATTTTCTGAAGAGCTCACAGGGATGATCATGAAAAGCCGACAACAGAATTGGCTGATTGTTCTAGGTTGAAACCATGAGCTGGATTGGAAATCTCTGTTGGGGCTTTCTCATGTTTGTTTGTTTGTTTCATCCCACTTCTATACTGCCCCATGACCCAAAGCTTCTCTGGGTGGCTTAGAAATGCTGAAAACAGCATGCAGTAAATAGATGCACGGATTAATCCTTGGAATGGTCTTTGCCAGCGTAATGTTTCTGCATTTAATAAACAGGTCCCTGAGCACTATTATGTCAAGACTGATGAAAGACTGCAATATTAGTGTTCAGTGGCTACTCATCATGACGGCTCTTGGTTATGAGTTCCCTCCTGTCCTTCTTGTGGATTTCCTGTGAGCGGCTGATCAGTCGCAGTGTGAGCAGAATAGGACTGGATAGGCCTTTGGCCTGACTCCACATGCCGACTCCTCTCTCCGCCTGTGCTTTCTGCAGGGGAAGTTCAGGCTTTTTATGATGACCTGAATGGACGGCAGTACATGAACGAGGTGTTCAACTTCAGCGTGGATAAGTTATACGACCTGCTCTTCACAGACTCTCAGTTCCTGAGGGACTTCATGGAGCAACGGCGGTTCTCTGGTAAGTCTGGGACTCTGGAAGTTGTGTAGGCTCGCATCCCAGCTGTTTTATTTTGCTCAGAGGTTTATCTACGGTCATGTCTTCTACTCCAGTTCTTAATTCCAAGTGTAAAAATCCCATGGCATTCTACCCGGGGCCTCTCAGAATGTATGGCTCTGTGAAAGGAGCCAACTACTTTCTGCAAGGAATTTTCTCAGCCCTCACAGCGTCTGCCTTTCCCATGCTTTGGGTCAGAAAGGAGGGGAAAGCGACCTTCCGGAATTCATATTGTACTTGCGGACCTCAGCCGAAGCCACAATGAGCTCTTTCTCCTTTGGCTTGTTCCACATTTATGAAAGCATCAGACGATCACGATCTGAGAAATGTGCTTGCTGGTGGAAAAGCTAAAATGAACAATTCCTCCAACCCGCTCCCACTGCACACTAAATCTGGTTTCTTCTCTTCATGGTTTTCTTCCTTCAGGAAGCTCAGATCAGCATAGGGGGTTGTTACCAAGTGACCTTCCCAACTTTTTTGGTTGAGAAAGGAGACTCATCAGGCATCTTCAGCCTCTTCTTTGTGCCTGCAACCTGTAGATTCTCTGGAGAAGTACAGTTCTCCCGAGAAACTTCACCAAGCTTATTAAAATCCTCCCAGGCTATGCCAACCCTTATGAGAATCTTGTCAGTCTCATCAAAATTCTTGTTAAGTTTCTGAAAACATATCAGTGCAGTCTCAGGGGTGCCCTTGTCCCTGTCCCAAATTCTCTGTAAAATTCGATTTAGGCAAGCTACAGACTGTACAGTGTCTCTCTTATCAGAGGGAAAAGTTTTATCCTCCCAAAGTTTGTTTTTGGCAAAATTCTGCTAGTGGAAGATGTAGGAGAGAGACTTCAGTGCTTGGAAGGATAAAAAATAAGCAGTAGATTTTCCTGAACATGCTGCTCAGGTACCTGAGGTGGAGGACAACTTCTGGCACTGTGGGAAATTTTCTGACTCCTGTCTTGTTGTGGTGCAATCTCTGGAGCTGAAAGACTGGCGCTCTTAATGAGGCCTTGGATAAATCACTGTTCTTCAGCCTTGGCTTTATGTTTTTAACTGGGGAATAGCAGTATCAGAGGAAAATGAGCATGGGTAAGTTAAAAAGCACAGCATGGGATATATACTAAAGAATAAGTGTTCTGTACCCGTCTTTTTCTGTCTGCCAATGCAGCGTTCCCACCAAGCGGCTTTTTCCTTCATTCTCTTCACAGAGGTTGTCTTTCATCCCTGGAAGAAGGAAGAAACAGGGAACCAAAGCAGAGTTATCCTCTACACCATCACCCTCACCAACCCTCTGGCCCCCAAAACTGCCACTGTCACTGAAACTCAGGTAGGAGTCCTGCTGCAGACCCCTGAAGCCCGGCATGGGCCTGTTCTTCTCGAATTAATTCCTGGTAGACCATCCTCCGTCCACTCATACTGCTTCTCTTTGCCCTCGCCAGACAATGTACAAAGCGAGCCAAGAGAGCGAGTGCTACGTGATAGATGCAGAGGTGCTAACTCATGACGTTCCCTACCACGATTATTTCTACACGATCAATCGCTACACATTGACGCGTGTGGCCAGGAACAAATGCCGACTCAGGTGGGCTGCAGTTCTGCCCTCTTACCAGGGAATGCAGCATCCGTTTCATGGTCTTTCGTGTACAGGTGCTGGCAATGTTTGAATTGCAAAGCTTGGAAATGCGCTTCTCAGAGGCTAGTTAGGCTCAGCTTCTTCTAACCCAGTCCAGTGCAAGTAGGAGGAGATCATGTGACTGTGCAAGATCTTTGTGTCTGTGTGTGTGTGTAGGGGATAAAGAACGTGCCTTCTTCTTCCTGACCTTGGCCATTGTTGCTTGTGACCTGCAGTTTCCCAAGAGGACCAAGTTTCACAACCTGGCAGCTACTGATTGCAAACACAAACACAGCAATTTGGTTTTGAAAACTGCCAGTGTTAGGGTTCCCAGGGCTGTACACTGGAGTGGACGTCTGTCTGATGGTTCTGTCCTTGGCCATGTGCCACTCCACACTTTTATGGAGGACTTGGATGAGGCCATCAAGGAGATGCTTATCCAACATGAAGACCACACAAAGCCAGGAGTGCTGGCGAATGTCACTGAACACTGGATCAAGGTTCAAAATGGTCTTGACAAACTGGAGCATGGGGCCAAAACCATCCAGGTGAAATGCAGTTCTGATACAGTCCTGCGTTTAGATACAATATGTAAGCACAATCACAGGGCAGGACAGATTTCGTCTGGCAGCAGTACATGTGAAAAGGATCTAAGTGTCTTAGAACAAGATTCTTGGTGCAAAAAATAAAAAGCCCCAATGCAGTCTTAAGTCACAATGAGAAATAATGATTCTCCTTTATTCAGTGTTAGTTTCGGTACATGTGGAGCAGTTCTGAGAGCCATTGTTTGGGAAGGATATTGAGGAACTGAAGTATTTCCAGGGGCGGGTGACCATAACATGGAAGCATCTGGAAATCTGATCCATTGAGGAACAGTTAAAAATGCTGAGTACATTTAGCCTGGAAAGAGAAGGCCAGTGGAAGACATGATAGATGCATTTAAGGATTTGATCTGTCAGCAACTTTGTTCTCTGTTGCTCCAGACTAAAACCAGTGGTTGGAATGATAAGGAAACAGGCTTCAGCTAAATGTGTTGCAAAGCCTCCTAAAGACACATCATCTTCAGCAGTGGAATAGGCAGCTTAGTCATAGTTCTTCGGTGCAGATATTTAAACGGAAACCTGGGCAGTCATCTGTAAATGCATTCTAGATCTGGCATTAATTTGGATCAGGTGAACTCGGAGGTCCCTTCCAACATGATAATTCTACTTTCCAGGGTTTCTACAGAACTACGATACAGAAAACAGCCATGGGGGCTGGTGAAATCATTCATTGAGAAGAACTTCTGGAGTGGCCTAGATGATTATTTTCGCCATTTAGGTGAGTGAAGCCTTGTAGAAACCAATGGACCTGGCTATCTGGCCATTTCTTTTCATACCACATGGCAGGATTCCTTGAGTGCAACCATTGGACCAAATCAATGGAGTTTTTAGGAGAGACCAAGGAAATAATTCAGCCCTGTGTACTAGTGCAAAAAGCCCTTTGTGTGTGTGTGTGTATGTGGACATATTGCAACAGGGAATTGTTTGGGTCCCTTGTGAGTCCCAGGGAAGCTGCTGACACTGACCATGTCCTGAGAGCAGAGGGCAGAACTTGAGAGCGGCCTCCCCTGGGATGGTGCCATGGCCTCAGACGAGAAATGCCTTTGGCTTGGGAAGAAAGCAGCCTCTTGCTTCCATCACAGAGGTGCCCCTCCATGTTTCCCTCACAGAGAGTGAGCTGACCAAAACGGAGAGCACGTACCTGGCGGAGCTTCACAGACAATCCCCCAAAGAGAAGGCAAGCAAGCAATCCGCCGTGCGCCGGAGAAAACGGCCCCACACGCACTTGAGGGGGCCACACCTGGAGGAAGTGCTGAGCCCCGTTACCACTCCCACCGACGAGGAGGTTGTAGGTCGGATAAAGCGTGTGACAGGTAAGGAGCGTGGCGTGGCAGCCGTGAGCTTTGCAGGGCGGATGGCGGCTCGGGTCCCTTGGGTGCTGGTTTGTTAGGCGACGGCAGGACAGGTGGTTCCATTGCAGGGGAAAATGGGTTTCCTGGGCTGCTGTTTCTGTACAGACACTCTGGCTGACCCAGAAGATCAGTTAGTGCTCGTGCCAAGTAACTGCCAATTAATTGTGCTTCTTCTCAGGAGGCGTCTTGGCTATTTTGCATGGCTAATTCTGTCTGCTTGGCTGTGTGGCGGAAGCTGCTTCCACGTAGCTGTAGCTAACTGCACATGAAATCCTTTTGTAAGGGTGCTAAGAGTTCGTGGAGGTCTAAAGAATGTCTCAAGTGTCTGCTTCCCAGAACAAGGCTCCAGGCAGAATGAGTTTGGGGGTGTTCAGGGGAAAGGACCTTCTCCAGTGTCCAACCAATGCTTCCTTCCAGGTTCCACTCAGACACGGCACATCCCTGAGGAAAGTCCCACTGGCTTCCACCAGCAGAGTGTCTCAAAATTGCTGCTTGTTATCAGTTGTGTGTAAGTTGTTTCTTGGCTTGTATTGCCTCGTTACTCCCCTCTTCGATCCGCAATGGTTGTCCTTCCTCTCTCTTTTATCCCACCTTGTTCTCCCTAAACGAGAAAGGATTTTGAAGGCCCATCCCAGTGCTTGGATTGTTTTCATGCATGGACACACCTGCACAGCTGCAATTCTCTCCTGCGACATGTTGTGCTTGGAATCCTTGCCCAGGGTTTGTGCTGTCCGCGCCTGTTCCCTTCCCTTGGCATCCAGTCCAAATGCCTTGTGCCCTGGTGGTCTGCCTTTCTTGGAATCCCAGGAAGTCATTTGGCCACAGTAGATGTGAGGCAGGGCACAGCTGCTACTCCAGGCAGGGGAAGGGCAAAATGTGGGGGTGGGAAGGGTGATGTCGCACTGAGTGAACTGGACTGCCTTGGGATACTTGAATTTGTGGAAACGAAGCTCATGCTTGGGAAACAGAGGAGGAGAAATGTTGATTTTTTGCAGAGAATTGTTATTGGATCACTGCTGATCCACTCCCTCCACAGATGCCAAAAAAACAAAACAAAACAAAAACAAAACAAAACAAAAAACCACATGCTGTGGAATGCCAAACATTTTAACCTGGGCTTAGTGGTTTTTTTCTCATGATTTGCTCTGTCAGGGCCCTTTCCTGTTTGATTAACACTGGGAATGTTTGGGTCAGTTGGAAGGCAAGAGTTAAAAATCTGTTGCACTGTGTAAAGGAAAAGCACTCCCATCGCATGTGCACACACGAACATATGTGTGTGCAAGCATGCGCACTCAGATACACACATACACACACACACAGCCAAGCCTGAATTCAGCCCCATCCCTCCTAGGAGCTTTGATGGAATCCAATTTGCTTTTTAATGTTGAAATGTCAAAAATGTTCTATTCACTGGTATGTAAGAAAAAAGGCTTGTTCAGTGCTGATTTAGGCAGAATTTCTGCCCTTTAGTAATTCCTTTGAGCTCAACTGGGTTTCAGAGTGACTTGACATTTTGCAGAGCACGACTTGAATTTAAATCTGGAATGCTTATCCGGATAGCCTATCATTTAGTAGGAAAATTGACGTCTGCCCACTCCTTCCTTGCAAGAATCTGAATCTAGATGGAAGATCAATAGGGTGATGTCCTATACAGGCAATGAGCTTGGTTTGTTTCTGCTGTGATTTGTATCCAAGCGGCTGACTCAGACAGTGCCCCCTCGTGGCGCAAATGGTCCCAGAGCACTGCCCTCCAAGACCCGGTTCTGTGTCCACACATCCAGCCTTCGAAGCCCAGTGGCTGGGAAAAAGCTAGACCCTGCCCACGGAAGAGAGTCTGTTGATTCGCTCTATCATCTTAATGCACATGCCATGCTGCTATTGCCTAATACTGGCATTTTTGTTTTTGGAAGCAGATGGCTTGCTATTTTTTTCGTGTCTGGTTAGGGACTGGGCTGGACAGCGTGTGGAAATTAGGACAGCCCACCTTTACTGCAAGGTCCATCCACAGAGGCAGTGTCCTACGGCCCGTCGATAGCCAGCATACGATGTGGTGGTGTCTCCCTGTGGCAGGATGCCCCCCCCTTTTTGTGGGTCAATCTTTGTTGTTTCCCAGGAAGTCCTAATGCATTTTCAAGGCTCTGCCATGAGGACTAGAAACATGTACTTACTTTGAACCTTTCCTTTGATTGGAGTTTGCCCTTTTTCTTTTTTTTTGGATACTTGGCCCAGTGAGAACTATTCACATCACCAGCGCCCCTCCGGCCACACTCCTGCATCGTGGGTCTTGGGCGTTTTCCTCTTTCTCCTCTCACCCTCACCTCTGCACCTTCTGCAGTCTCTCTCCCCAACCTGTGTGCTCTGCGTCCCTTAGAATAATCCGCCCTGCAATTTCCCCCTCTCTCAACTCTGGTGTGCTTCTAACCTTCGCCTCCTCCATCTTTTCTCTTCCCTGCTCCCATTAGGATTTGTTTCAGGTACTGTCTCCTTCTTTTTACCTTGCTTCTCTCTCACCTGTCTCTCCCTTGCCTCCCTGTGCATCCCAGCTGCTGGATTTGTCCTTTCACACTCTCTGTCTGATCTCTGCTTAGATTCTCTAGGGCTTTCCCCTCATCTGGTTCTTCTTAAATTAAAGAATGCTGTCCCTAGCCCTCTTTGACTCCCCAGAGAGGAATCCTTCAGCCCTTTTCCCACTGAGCAGAGCTAGCTGTCACTCCCGGCTTCCCACCGCACACATGTCCCCACGGTTATGTCTTGCATCTCCTTAGGCTTCATAAACTTCATACACTCTTTAGATGGGGCAGAAGGATGAAAGGAGAGGGTCCCAAGTGAAGTCTGCCCCTTTTCTGGCTTCTGAAACCTGGCCTGTGTTCTTCCATCTGAGCAGTTTCAAAAAGGATGGAGAAGGATCGCTAGCCATGGATTATCCTCCCAAAGAGGCAGTTCCAACACTTTTGCTTGTCCTCTAGCACTGCATATGAGTTGCAATAGGAGGGCCAGCCCCTGGGGACTTCCTACAAAGTTTATTCTCCACTCCTTTTTTACACAGATGGACAGTGCTGCACAAGAAATGCAGCCTGGTTATTTTTATTTATTTATATTTTATTTATGTTGCGATTTATATCCTGCCTTTTTCCTACAAAGGACTCAAGGCAGCTTACATCACCTCCTCCATCTTATCCCCACAATGACAACCCTGTGAGGTAGGCTGGGCTGAGAGTCTGTGACTGGCCCAAAGTCACCCAGTGGGCTCCATGGCTGAGCGGGGACTAGGACCCAGATCGTCTGAGTCACAGTCCCACGCTCTTAACCACTACACCACACTGGCTCTCTGGTTAAGCTAGCAAGACAGCCAAAATGCTTCTGCCAAAGACCAGGTTGAGGTCCTCATGCTGAGACTGAGACACGTTGCCCCATGCATTAGATGCCCACGTCGGGCAGTTCGGAGTGGGGGGATTCAGCATTCCCCAGTACATGGGGAGCATCAGCCCATTCCATTGCATAGAAATGATGGTGACCATCTGCTTGAGGCATTTCAGGGTGAGGTTCCTTGTGGATGGAGGCAAGCCCAGCCGCCTGCCACTCATTCGCATTCTTTTCCTGTTTTCTCTTCCCAGCCTGGTGCTTTTGGTCATCCTCAATATGATGCTGTTCTACAAACTCTGGATGTTGGAATACACCACTCAGACCCTTACGGCTTGGCAGGGCCTGCGGTTACAGGAAAGGTAACGCAGCATACAAGCGATGCTCCACTCCATCCTCGTCACACCTAGCCATCTTTGGAACCTTCAATTTCCCCTTGCACTGTGAGGCTCTTGAGTGGTCTCACTCTGTCCATGGGGGTCTCGCCCAGAAACTAACCCCCCTTTTTAGAATAGAGCCATTGTAAACTACCCTCCCCCTGCTTCGATGGGGGCAGGATGCAGCTTGGTTGTACAATACAAACCAAAAAAACTAATTTTAAAAACTAATTTAAATGTTAATGTTTGACAGTCACTTTTATTTGACTTATATAATTTGTATTTTTGGTTAATTGCTATCTATTGCTGTTTTATTGTGGTGGTTTTAATTATTGTAAGCCATCCTGAGAGGCCACGCATAAGGGATGGCTTTCGAAAGTTATAAACAAGCGCACAAACAAACACCAAGCACTTCCCAGCCCCTCCACACAGTGGGATTGGAGCCACCCCAGCTTTGCAATCTGTTGCACATGATGTGGGTGAGTTCAGGTGAGGCCAGGGGCAAGAAAGGGCTCAGATAGTGGCGGTGGACTCGGGTTCTTTGTGAAGGCAACCTTCCTGAGGGAGCACAGAGCCAAGCGGTGGGAGGGGGGAGCGTGTGGTTCAGCAGCAGAATCCTTGCTCTGCACGGAGAAGGTCCTTGGCTCAGCCCCCAGCAGGACCGTGGAAGAAACCTAACAGCAACTAGTCAGCATCGCTCCTGCCAGTCTAGAGGGACCGGCTCCATGAGCAGCCCCACACATCATGGCTGCCCAGCATGGCGATTGGCCGCGACGAGCTGCTTTTTCCCTGACTCCCTGTGGTGGCCTGGTGGTAGTACTTTGCCCCCTCTCCCGCAGAAGACCCCACAAGGCTGGCTTCACCTCCAGAGCTCACCTTTCCCTCCTGGTCTGTCTGGCAGGTTGCCCCAGTCTCAGACGGAATGGGCCCAGTTACTAGAGTCTCAGCAGAAGTACCATGACACAGAGCTCCAGAAGTGGAGAGAGATCGTCAAGTCATCTGTGATTCTACTCGATCAGGTGAGAGCGGCATCCCACATGAGCCGGTGAATATATTCACTGTAAGCAATCAGCTGCACTCACAAGCCAAGGTGCACAGACCACGCAGCTTCCTGGATGCTGCAGTACTATGGAACTGCTTGGATACGTGGTATCCCTCTGTAAAAGTGGTGGTGAACCTATGGCGTGCGTGCCACAGCGGGCACACAGAGCCCTCTCTGTCGGCACGGGAGCCAAGTCAACCCAGCATCGCCCCAGCAGCCAGCCATTGGATGACACATTATATAGGGGCAAAGCCCCCAATCGGAAAGGAGTAGCGACCAGGGAATGATGTCAGGAATCACGACTCCTTAGCCGAAACTCTTCCGAGCTCTCACATGACCAGCCAGTGCACTTCCAATGATATACATATATTTGCTTACACTGGCTGCGAGGTGTTTTTTCAACAATGATACCTCAATTTTCAGGTTTTATTGCACTGTTTTGCACTTTGAGATAAATAGGTGGGTTTTGAGTTGCAGTATGAGAACTCGGTTTCTAAAAGATTCACCATCACTGGATTAGAGTTAGAAAATGTGGTGTCTTGGCATGATTTTGATGGTTTCAATGTGTTCAGAATGGGCAGAAATGATGAGCAGTGCTGAAAAAGATGCTCAAAGAAGGCTTTTTAATAATCGCCCACCTTTCAATGGAATATTACCCTATATTAGGGTGAGGGATGATCACAAGGGTAGGGTTAGGGTTAGAAAAACTAGGAGGCCTGGCATGATTCTGATGGTTGGAATGCGTTTAGAATGGGGAGAAATGAGGAGCTGGGGAGAAAAAGCTACTCGAAGACTTTTTAAAAAGCGCCCACCTTTCAGTGGAATATTACCCTATGTTAGGGTTAGGGGTGAGCACCAGGGTAGGGTTAGGGTTAGAAAAACTAGGAGTCCTGGCATGATTTTGATGGTTGGAATGCGTTTAGGAAGGGGAGAAATGATGAGCTGGGGAGAAAAAGCTACTCAAAGAAGGCTTTTTAAAAATCGCCCACCTTTCAGTGGAGTATTACCCTATATTAGGGTTGGGGGTGAGCACCAGCGTAGGGTTAGGGTTAGAAAAACTAGGAGTCCTGGCTTGATTCTGATGGTTGCGATGCGTTTAGAATGGGGAGAAATGATGAGCAGTGCAGAAAAAACTACTAAAGGAAGGCTTTTTAAATATCGCCCACCTTTCAGTGGAATATTACCGTGTATTAGGGTTAGGGGTGAGCACCAGGGTAGGGTTAGGGTTAGGAAAACTAGGAGTCCTGGCATGATTCTGATGGTTGGAATGCGTTTAGGAAGGGGAGAAATGATGAGCTGGGGAGAAAAAGCTACTCAAAGAAGGCTTTTTAAAAATCGCCCACCTTTCAGTGGAATATTACCCTGTATTAGGGTTAGCGGTGAGCTCCAGGGTAGGGTTAGGGTTAGGAAAACTAGGAGTCCTGGCATGATTCTGATGGTTGGAATGCGTTTAGGAGGGGGAGAAATGATGAGCTGGGGAGAAAAAGCTAGTCAAAGGCGTCTTTTTAAAAATCGCCCACCTTTCAGTGGAACATTACCCTACTTTAGGGTTAGGGGTGAGCACCAGGGTAGGGTTCGGTTGAAATTTTTTATTTAAATAAAAACGTACTACAAAAGTTACAAAAGGGACAAAATTGCAATATTACAAAAGTAGAAAAATCCCTCATCCAATATTTACATGGTATCAAAATGCCAAAAGTACACACTTTTACAGGATTCCCAAGCTTTACATATCAAATTTACAAAAGAACGTTCTATAGATTTCTCCTTAATAGATTCATGCCATGTGTCTCAGCAACATGTATGACCGGTTTCCGTACATTCCGTGATCGGGGCTTGATCCCCACTCAACCACGGCCACAATTTCCTCCACCTACTGGGAGGCATCCTTCCTTTTTTCTCGCGGCTCAACCAAAAGATCTTCTCTTGGACAAATTTAACTGAGCCGGCCACGTCAGCCACCTTTTGTGTCTTTATCTCTCTGTGGCGTTGGAGGGACAGCGCCAACAGAACGTACAGATTAATCCGCCTAATTGTGGACCACGGCACAGTCCAGTACGTCTTGGGAGCCGTGGTCTCTCTCCACCGCCGCTTCCTGGGCACTCTCCTCCTGGGTCCCTTCAATGGAGGAGCGGGTTCTGTGCCAGACACGACCGATTCCCAGTCCTGGGAGCCCAGGGTAGGGTTAGGGTTAGGAAATCTAAGAGTCCTGGCATGATTCTGATGGTTGGAATGCGTTTTGGATGGGGAGAAATGATGAGCTGGGGAGGAAAAGCTACTCAAAGACGGCTTTTTAAAAATCGCCCACCTTTCAGTGGAATATTACCCTACTTTAGGGTTAGGGGTGAGCACCAGGGTAGGGTTAGGGTTAGAAAAACTAGAATTCCTGGCATGATTCTGATGGTTGAAATGCGTTTAGGATGGGGAGAAATGATGAGCTGGGGAGAAAAAGCTACTCAATGGCGGCTTTTTAAAAATTGCCCACCTTTCAATGGAATATTATCCTATATTAGGGTTAGGGCTGAGCACCAGGGTAGGGTTAGGGTTAGAAAAACCAGGAGTCCTGGCATGATTCTGATGGTTGTAATGCGTTTAGGAGGGGGAGAAATGATGAGCTGGGGAGAAAAAGCTACTCAAAGGCGGCTTTTTAAAAATCGCCCACCTTTCAGTGGAATATTACCCTCAATTAGGGTTAGCGGTGAGCACCAGGGTAGGGTTAGGAAAACCAGGAGTCCTGGCATATTTCAGATGGTCGGAATGCGTTTAGGATGGGGAGAAATGATGAGCTAGGGAGAAAAAGCTACTCAAAGACGGCTTTTTAAAAATTGCCCACCTTTCAGTGGAACATTACCCTACTTTAGGTTTAGGGGTGAGGACCAGGGTAGGGTTAGGGTTTGGAAAACTAGGAGTCCTGGCATGATTCTGATGGTTGGAATGCGTTTAGGATGGGGAGAAATGATGAGCTGGGGAGAAAAAGCTAGTCAAAGGCGTCTTTTTAAAAAACGCCCACCTTTCAGTGGAATATTACTCTATATTAGGGTTAGGGCTGAGCACCAGGGTAGGGTTAGGGTTAGGAAAACTAGGTGTCCTAGCATGATTCTGATGGTTGGAATGCGTTTAGGAGGGGGAGAAACGATGAGGTGGGGAGAAAAAGCTACTCAAAGGCGGCTTTTTAAAAATCGCCCACCTTTCAGTGGAATATTACCCCATATTAGGGTTAGGGGTGAGCACCAGGATAGGGTTAGGGTTAGGAAAACTAGGAGTCCTGGCATGATTCTGATGGTTGGAATGCGTTTAGGAGCGGGAGAAATGATGAGCTGGGGAGAAAAAGCTACCCAAAGGCGGCTTTTTAAAAATCGCCCACCTTTCAGTGGAATATTACCCTATATTAGGGTTAGGGGTGAGCACCAGGGTAGGGTTAGGGTTAGAAAAACTAGGAGTCCTGGCATTATTCTGATGGTTGGAATGTGCTTAGGATTGGGAGAAATGATGAGCTGGGGAGAAAAAGCTACTCAACCAAGGCTTTTTAAAAACCGCCCATCTTTAGTGGGATATTACCCCATGTTAGGGTTAGGGGTGAGCACCAGGGTAGGGTTAGGGTTAGGAAAACTAGGAGTCCTGGCATGATTCTGATGGTTGGAATGTGCTTAGGATGGGGAGAAATGATGAGCTGGGGAGAAAAAGCCAGTCAAAGGCGTCTTTTTAAAAAACGCCCACCTTTCAGTGGAATATTACCCTATATTAGGGTTAGGGGTGAGCACCAGGGTAGGGTTAGGGTTATAAAAA